CCCGCTTCAGACCACAAGGGGACTGGAACCCACAAGACTGCAAGGAAGTCAATGTTATCATAATTCACAAATTTGAACTTGAAACCATTCTAATTTATTCAATATAGACTTGTAATTATGGCCTGTTGGCTAGGAGGAAAGCACAAAGATATGCAGGTCCTATATGTTGACCACTTTGGTAAAACCCATTAGCATGGTCTTGGTGACAATCAATCATTTAATCGAAAATGCAAACCCACAGGATTTGAATCCCAAACCACACACAGGTTTCTGGCACCTTGCTGATGAACAAATTGCAACTTTATGTAAAATGTCTCTGTCAAAGCACCTTTCACCTGTTGACTTGTGAGACTGCACACATTTGAAATTGTGTAGTTTGCTTTTATTACAATGCACTAAGCAATATTCCAGCTATCGCGATGGTGGTCTGTAAATAATAATTGACTGGAAAAGCGAAGGCAGCGATGTCATGTCTTGACTGTATTATGTATAGGACCAAGAGGGTAAGAGTTCCCTCCCGTTCCCCATCCCTATATTTATAAATATACTAAGAGCTATTAACAAAACTTAACACAACAATTGCTAGAGAACTCACAAAATGACTAAAGTCAAAATTTAAGTTAGGGTTAGGTTTAGAGTTGGGGAACGCAAGAGACTTTTTCAGAACCGCATCGTGGTTCTCGGCTAACTCTGTACCAGACAGTCCACATCAACATCATGAACATCGGTAAAGTGCACTCATACTCCCCATCGATCGACTGGATGGCATGCATCAGGTGCCACATACCAGCGTATCGATATCGGTATATGGTCTCTACATGCATCAATCAACAGCTGATCAAAGTTAGTCCGGCATATAACTAAACGACTTTGCACTAAACTTTGGCTAGAATACGAGCTTTTATTTAATAATATTTTATATGCACTACAATCCTACAATCAAGCCAGCAGAGCCTGTCTACCCGATCCTGTTATTCGCCTCACCCATTTAGCTTTACAAAAGTTACATTACAAGACGTGATCACCAGTGTCATAACGTCATAGCAGCCTCTGACTGGTTGACAAATCGAATCGATTAGATTGACACATTCAAATTTGACCCACATTGGTTTCGGAAAGTACCTCTTTGCTCTTAAGCAGATTTTGCGCCACAATATTATGATCTCGTCTTTTCTCGTACACAGACGAGACTTGTTTTGTATTTGACTGGGCTCCTGTCTACCAAACTGCGCACCGCTTACCAACGGTAGAACCATTCGTGACCAACTCGTGTCATTCCGGGACAAGCCGAATAGCGGTTACGGAAAGGGGCGAGTGGTGACGAATGCGGTATAATATTCTGGTTATATTATTCTGCATTTCTTAATACAACTTATGTTATATGCATCAGTTTTTGTTCCATTGGAATATCCATAAATAATATGCACAACAACATACAGTGTTGTTGGTACACAGTTACTTTGTTGTTACAAAATATGTTTTCCTGAAATAACGTTTTGGATACGGTAAATAACAAAAGGTGGCGGTAAAGCTTAAACATTTATTTGCTTGGGCAAATGGCATATGGTCAATTATCGCGGTGAGGAGTTCGCACTTCACATAATGTATTTCATCGCACGCTTTCGTGTTCCTAAACATGCGAAAACGGGTAAACGTGGAATAAAATGTCCTCACACGATTAAACTAGGACTTAAATCCTTAAATGAAGACCTTTTCTTTCTTTCTTTCTATCTATCTATCTATCTATCTATCTATCTATCTATCTATCTATATCTATCTATCTATCTATCTATCTATCTATCTATCTATCTATCTATCTATCTATCTATCTATCTATTCTGAAATCAATATACTCGTCAGTCATATTTATGACATTCTAGCCTTCATAAAACTGTACACATTTGTAATCGGTATTGCTTAGGTTATGTAAAATCATGAAACATTTTCTAAATTTATTAACGAAGGACGGGAGCATTCCCTAATGTGGATTTCCCAATTCGAAGATATGAGCTCTGCCATTGTCATGATTGTTGGATAGGCGTCATTTAAAACCGCCTATCACGTCATGAACAATGGATGACATCAGACAGACAGACAATACTTTATTACCTTAAAAGGAATTCGTTTTGGTTCACAGAGCTTGACAAAAATACAAAATACAACATAAAATATGACATAAAAATATGACATTACTAAAAACATAAAAGAGATAAATATGTGCTTAAATAGAAATAAATGAATAAGATGAAAGCTGGACATTCAACATTTGTTTAAAATTGTAATACTTTGAGGTACAAAAAAGACGTTCGAGCTCGTTTAGTCTTAGTGATTTGGTACTGTATAGCGGCGGCCCGAAGGTAAAGAAGCTTATACTCTAGATTTAAAAAATGTGTTGTGTCATTAATGATTTTCAGTCGTTGAAGTGAGAAGTGAAAGATTATCGAAAGTGACCCCGGCTATTTTACTAGCTGTATTTACAATTTTGTTAAGTTTTTGATTTGTTTTGACTGAAAGAGACTCGAACCAGCACTGAAAGAAAAAGTGAGTATACTCTGAATAAAAAGTGGTTTTAAAACAACATCATAACAGATTGGGAAACGTTAAAAAGATCGTAGTTTGAGCATTAGATGGAGGCGTTGTTGACATTTACTATACAGGGCATCTGTGCTGCTGGTGTTCCACGTTAACCTGCTATCAATAAAAGTTCAAAGGTACTTGTACTCAGTGACTATCTCCCAATTGGTTCATTACTAATGAACAAAGGCGGTACTGTTGGGGAGTTAGTTCTGAAATCAAAACAGAGTTCTTTTGTCTTTTTCACATTTAAAATAAATGATTCTCTGTACACCATGATGTGAAATTCTTTACATTATCTCTGTATCGTCGTTCTGATTCATAATCATACATCTGACCAACAATGGCTGCATCATCAGCAAACTTCACATTTTATACAGTTACTTTCTACGCTAGTGCAGTCATTGATGTATCTATAGAGTGAACAGGACCATGGTGACATAACACAACCTTGCGGGTACTCCTGCATTGATAACCTTCATGTCCGATACACTGTCGTTAACTTTCACACACTGAAATCTTGCATGGAGGAAATCTCCGACCCATCGAATCAGTTGTGAATTCACTCCCATAGTTTGCAGCTTTCTTACTATCACGTGGGGTTGGATCGTGTTGAAGGCTGAAGAGAAGTCAACGAACAGTGTTCTAAGGTAGGACTTGGGAGTCTCGGCTTGTATACGTTGTTGAGAAGAGAGGAGTGTGGCGTCAACAACTCCGCGCTTGGATCTGTATGCGAACTGTAGAGGGTCAAGTAGATGGTTTACTTCTGCCTTCAGAAACATCAAAAACGATGGACTCGAGACACTTCATAGCTATGGAGGTTAATGCGACTGGCCGATAATCATTTAGTTCTTATGGCTTGCTTGACGTTGTTATATATATAGGGAATCTCACCCAAGTGTCTCGGCAAGCCCTCGGATATTTGTAACTTTATCAACTCGTGTTGATATATTTGATATCAGAAGACACGAGGGTGAGATTCTATTTATCATCAAAATCACTCTTCATTAGTTTTCAATTAAAATGTACATCTCTTGAACACGGTACTGCCATTAGACTTGCAGTGCAGCGATGTCATGGCATTGTGACGCCATCAGGTTTTGACGCCATATCATTGTGATGTCATCAGGTTTTTGCACGTCAAGGCATTGTGAGTTACCTAAAACATTTTATCGTGTTGTTACTCTTTGCAAGAAAGAAAAGTGTAAAGAAAGAAAGAAATCTGTGTACAAAATGAACATTGTATGACATCCAGTGTACTGCACAGAGGCATCCCGAATACCCCTTTAACTATAAAAGCATTTAACATACTGTATATTGAGGTAAGGTGTGACTGAGTATGTTTTCAGCAAATGTTCCTGCAATATCACGGGAGGGGACATCAAGCTTGCTTCTTTTGTTCAACGCTCAGCAGTATTCCAGCTGTATGACGGCGGTCTGTAGAAAAGGACAAGACAATCCAGTGATCTACAGTATGAGCATCTATCTCACTGTTTGGATACGATGACACGTGGCAACAATGTCGTCGAGCCTGATTACCTCTTTCGACAAGCATATGGGCTGCAACGTTAACCAATCCTAACCCGGATCTTCACGGATAGGGGCATTTATAAAACGGGGAATCGAACCCACGACGAGCCAAACTTACTCAGCAAAATTCGCCCAAAATTCATGTAGAGGAATGTTATACGATTCATCATGTCAAGAAAACTTGCCCTCTACAATGTTGTAATGATGCTTGTGACACATGTAGCAAACTATCTTGTGTTTTGCACTTGTTCTTAACCCAAGAACGTCGTTCTCAAATCAGGAACAATCACTAAAACGCTGTCACGGGAAGCGCTTGCGCTCTCTTTAAGTGAACGCGGTGTTGTGAGTTTACACGAGTCACCTGCCTTGGAAACTGCCTTGACAAACAGGAAAGAGCCACCCAGCCGAGAAATGTGACCCCAATAGCCCCTGATCTTCGAGGGTGGTGCTGGGGTGGATCATGGACCACAGAATTGGGTGTTCTCGGTTCGGAGCATGAGAGCTGGCGACGGATTGCAAGCTAGACGGCTAACAAGTTCATGTGTGTCTTACAGGTGACACACGTGTTTTGCAAATGAGGAAGTAAAAAGTAAGTTCTTATTATGAATAAGAAATAATTGTTGTTGAGGTATTTTTTCTCTGATTACTGGAAGTTGTTGTCGGTTCATTCAGGTGGAAATGTCACCTTCACCCCTTGGTTGATTGTGTTCCTAACGACTGTCATATATTTTGCTGATACCTAGTGACAACTCTTTTTTATCAACTGGTGGTGATGTTCACTGCCGCGTATTTTACATAGTTTTAGGGTTGGGTATTGCCAAACTCTCAAAGTGCGATATGTGTCGGCGTATTGCAATATGTATTGCAATATATTGTGAAAGTGTAACACATGGTTTAAGGTAATAAGATTGCTGTTTCCTTTCTTTTTGAAACAATGTCACTGACCACTATCAGGACTTAGATGTGATTGTACAAGAGATCAATTGAAAATGATTCCAAATTGAAGACTTTGCTCTAAAGTTTGGAACTCAATAAAAGCGTCTGCAGCAGAGTCCGCCATATTGGCTGGTATATCCATTACAATGAGTGCGGTACCAATCTATTTTTATTTATTTATATGGTTTTAAAAGTCACTGAAATGCAATTATATGACCAATAAACTTTACCTGAACTTGAGGTTCAAGGTTTTTAGTTTTGTGCATACAGAAAATGAATAGATCTTTTGGTGTCAAATATTTCAATATGTGACCATAAAAGTTTAATCCACGCGATTAAGTGAAGAAGTTACCAAAATACAACAAATCCACCTCACTGGCCGATGACTGTGATGTCATGGTTACCCGATAATGACGAATGTCATAATCACCTGAATAGCTTTGAGATGCAATTTCATTAAGAATGATATCTTCTGTATCATGCAGGGGGGAGATACAGGCTAACGACAAGAAGAAGGGTAGCAAGAGTGGTTAAAATGTTAACTTCGTTAAGCTGAAGACCAAGGTTTCATTCCCCACATGGCTGCAATGCATTATGTCAGTTTCTGGTGTCCAGCTCCATGATATTTCTTGATACTTTTATTTTATTGACAGAACAACACTGTTAGGATTGTTAAAGAGTATATTCACTCTTACTCTGTGGAAGTAAATGGGTGATAGAAATGGTAATTTCGCATTCTTCACCTACAGCATAATAAATGTGAATGGGACCACTGTGAATGCCTTCTTGCAGGGATTGGTTCTTTGTAGGCTTTGCACAGCATCATGTTTATGATATTCAAATGATCCGTGTTTATTATTGTATTCTATGTCTGTCTCAGGTATTATGCAGTTATCAGTAGAAGGTAGTGGTGTTCGCATTAATTGAAATGATCGAAGACTGGTCTCAGTGGCCAAACGACCAAGCAATCAATCACATTTGCTCATGATCGAACACAAATGATTTTGCAACTTTTGTTTTATTGTTTGAAACACTTGACGATGGAACGTATCTTAGAAGTTGTCAGAGCCTGAAAACATGTTTAATTCTTAGAAAACTCACTTCACTTACTGAAAAGTCATGACTGAATATTCCTTCAAGACTCTGGGAAGTTAATGTTCGTGATATATTAGTCATCACTTTTAAGTAGCAAGTTGGATCAGTTTACATTGGATGTGAAATTTGCTAATGCAATTTGCACAGTTTCTAAATAAAACAGAAAATAACAGAAAACCAAGTTATACTTATCGGCAATAACAATCTGAAAAGGAAAATCTGAAAAATGACGCTAACCAATTTTTTTGGGATGATTGCTTGTTGGTAATGAACCAATTATAAATTTTGAGATTTCAACCAATTCCCAACACTAGTAGAAGTAACATGTGACCAAGTGGAAGTGACAGCTGCAGAATCAGTGTTCATTCTAGGCTGCACCCATGCGTCATTCACGCACTAATGTTTAACATGGCGCACTGTACAGATACAGGCAGGTCGTGTCAACACATCCATAAATGTAAGTCTGAAACACATCACTATTTTGTTTTCACTTGGCAACTCAAGCAAAACTTCAGCATGCTTCTTGTTGACCTCACCTGAACTACAGTGAATCGCTAAAAATAGACAGCAATTTTCTAAATGACTCACGTAACTGAGGGCTGGTGGGCCATGGGTTCACTTTTTAGAAATGCTTGAATGAACACTGCAGAATTGACACTGGTCGTCAGTTCGAAATTCCGTCCTCCGTGGCAACCAACTAAGTTGTTACTTTAATGTTTGAAATGCAAAGGCTTTATTCATTTTCCTCTGATGGAAATAACTAACTTGAAAATGCCATCTTCCACTTTATTCGAATCTCAGGTCCTCAACTTATATACTGATTAACTCATTGAGGTACCCTTCCAGAGATGATATAACATTTCATAACAGTAAATATGACCCCAATCTCATTTGATTGTGCTTAACAAATAAAAGAAGACTTCATGCTTTTCAAATTGCCTTATTAACACCATTATTCCATTGCAGACATGTAGGTATTGATTATCGTGTCTTCCCCCAGGATCCAAAAAGGCAGGGTGACAGAATTTCTAAAGGGGACCCTTATTCCAAGAGGGCAAGCTGTGACAGATTTCCAAGTATTATGTTGAGTTATCGATGCATATGATTCTTAAAGACTCAAAGAGCACAGTTATTTCACTTAATTTCAGCATGAAATAGAAACTAGAACCACCAAGTGTTGATATCAATTATTGTATCAAAAAGGACAGGGGGGCAAATGAAAAGGACAGGGTGCTGCACCCTAGTAAAAATGCCTAGGGCAAACACTATATTATAAGTATATAGTGTCGTCAACTCTTGACAAGACCGGGCAGTGGGGTAGCCGAGTGGTTAAAGCCTTCACTCTTCACACCGAAGGCTGGGTTCGATTCCTCACAGGGGTACAATGTGCAGAGGTACAGATAAGCTTCGTATCTGCGTAAATTACGCAAATGTTTATGAGAAAACTCAATTCCTATTGAGTCTGTTGCGTACAAGTACGCTTGGAGTTTGGTAAATACCCAATAAATGTGATCTTACATGCATACAAACAAAAATGTCAAATCTTAGCTTGCGTACCGGTGGATAAAATAAAATAACTGTGGTATACTGAGAGGTTCTATTTCAGGACATGAACTTGACAACCTGCAGTCTTTCTTATCGTTCTCATATTACAGATCAAATATAAACAACAAACACTAACATTTAAACTTTTTTTTATTTGTAAAATTAATGGAAAATGGAAAAATACCCAATTGAGTTTGAGTGAGGTGAGTACAATTTATTTGGTTACTCAAATGAAAATTAGAATACCCAATTGAGATGAACACAAGCGAGTACATAACTCAGTGATCCAAAACGTTATCTGTAGCTCTGAATGTCTGAAGACCATTTCTAGTGTACCCTGCTGTGATATTGCTGGAATATTACTAAAAGCGGCATAAAACCATTGTCAGTCAGCTTTGACAAGACCCCTTACTTGTTGCACGGTTATCTGCTTAATTGTTGAAAGGATTTCTGACATGTGTAATTCATCTTGTTCTGAAGCTCAGAGCAAACGTCTTGAAATATGTGCTTATGTTTCAGTGAACCTGAAAATGTGTTTCCAATATCAAATAAAACTTCCAAGACATATTCAAACATGTATTTCCAACCTTGACACATTGAATATCCTGGAGTAGTATGAATATCTTTGATCCATTATATTCGCTGAAAGCCTGTCATGTGACCAAGTTTAGTTAAATAAGTGGTGCACCCATATTGACTTACCCATTTAGAACATGATGTGTAAATAGAAGGGACAATGTATGTTCTACAACTGTGAACTAAAAACAAGCCAGACAGGTGTTTCATGATTTCATCACCATGTCTGATCATTATTTGACACCTGAATGTAAGTAGGTACCTATTGAATAATTGATACCTGACTACAATTTGATACCTAATATTTGATAACTTAGCATTATTTGATACCTGCCTAGTATTTGATACTTAATATTTGAGAACTGAGTGTTATGTGACACCTGTTGATTATTACATACCTGGGTGCCGTTGTACAAAGCAATCTTAGCGCTAAGGTGACCGTAACTCCCATACCTTAACATAGACTTAAGGTAGTCTTAGCGCTAAGGTTGTTTTGTACAACGGCACCCTGACCATTTTTGATATCTAATATTTGATACCTCGTAATTATTTGATACCTAATATTTGATAACTTAGCATTATTTGATACCTTGTAATTATTTGATACCTACTATTTGATAAATGAGCATTATTTGATACCTGACTAGTATTTGCAACCTAATATTTGATAACTGAGAAGTATTTAATACCTGTTGACTAATTAATTCCTGTTGACTATTTACTACCTATTGACTATTTAATACCTAAGCATTATTTAATTATTGATCATCCTTTAATACCTGAGCATTATTTAATACCTTTACTGTACCTCTGAACAAGGTTCAACTGATCTAGCTGATTATCATTTCACAATAGATCATCATTCGATCTGAATCTTTTAATTTATTTATTTTCAGTAGATATATTTGACAAATTTGGAAAGCATGACTATTTTGTTTATTACTGGGCTTTCTTCAGAGTTTTTACTATTTTGATAAACATGTATTATGATCAGGTATGTTCACTTCATGATTGCGTTCAGTACAATGATATAACAGAGTAAAAACCTTTCTTCATTTTTCATGGTCCTTTTGTTAGTGAAATAAAGTCACTTAGACCAGGAAATATCATTAGCAATGTTATAATGGCATGAATAGGAAAGCATTTAATTCCGCTCCAGAAAAGAGACATATCAGAAAGAGAGAATACTTATCACAATTTATTTTGTTTCACATTTATGAATGTTCAGTTGTTGTGAATTTATTAAGCTAGCATTTAAAGAGCAAACTGGGATAATAAAATGTAAATGAGAACAAGAATTACTCATACATGTTTAGACAAAATTCATACCATATCTACCCAATCTATTGTGTTCTACTATTTTCCTGGCAACTGACCAGAAGTGTTCTCACAACAGAGGAAGATTATCTCCTTTAGAATCAATCACTTAATCTGTGTCGTC